GAAAGATACCTGTATTGACCTGGAGTTTGGACTTGGTGATCTCTATAAGCTCTTTCTCTGACACTATGATATGAAGTCAGTTTGAAGTGGCATATATCAGATTGGTTATATTGATTGGTCCCATCACATGAACATAAAACTTGATCAAAATGAATATATCTAATGCAGTATGTTGGTTAAAATGTTGGACTGGATAACCCAGGAAAAAAGTCTACCTTCAGCCTTGGAAACTTGCTAAAAGTTGCTGCAGAAAAAAGTAGGAGGACAGAAAGCTATATATGCTAACCTGAGTCTAGTAATGAAAGATGGAATATACATCTAATAAATAAATACAACATGTTATAGCAGCACGTTGCAGGAAAGGACAATGTCAGATAACAGAAATGCTATTGGTAAGGGGACTTTGTGTGTCAGTACTAAATGTGCATTGAAGAACACCTAAACAACCTCCCCAAAACTCCAGGATTTTTAAAGACACAATTTGAAATATTGGCATTCGCCAGTTACCTACCTGTTACAAAGAAATTCAATTACTTCTTCTTTACTTTCTGCTTCCTCCTGAAATCTGATAACAATCTTTTGGAGGAACCATCCACTACCTGAGATTCAATGTTAACAAGTGTACAGTAGGTTGGCTAGAGGAACCACTTTGGTCTTGACTGTGTGTCATTTAATTTATCAGTGACAACATACATATTCCATATAATTCTTGAAGTATAAAAAGCAAAACACATTTTATGGGACAAATATGTCTGCCTCTTGTCCCCTATAAATATACCTGCAATTCAGCCTTCTATAATTTTGATATTTTACAGATGTGTTGAATTACATCTCCTGTTAGATTTAAAAAACAAGGCTGTTATGAGCAGTGGTATTTATATTTTGGTACCTGGGGAAGGCTCTTGCAATATTTCAAGAGGCAGACTAATGCAGCTTCTTCAATTTCAAGCTGTCCAGATGTTCTGAAATTATAAATCCCAGAGCATCTGGAAAGTACCAGGTTTAGTAAGACTGATGTTGTTTGTATATGCTAGGAGCAAGTAGCAATTACAAATTAGAGGATTTCACAAGCTCATTACTAATCAGGGGAGAGGGAAAGCAGAAATAAAGTCATCACAGTGCTTAACGTGACATATGAAAGAGAAGCAGCATATTTGGTTCCACATATTATATGAACCGAAAATTAGGAAAAATTCAATAAGGATATAAAATTAGATAAAATGAAAGGTGAGGACAGGCTTTCCACTGCTAATATTCTCCCATAAATATAGTATCTTTATAAAATATGTTATTAGGCAGAACATATTAGCTCTATGTTCTTGCAAGAATATATATATATATATATATATATAAACCATCAGTGGGGGAAAAGCTCTACCTGGACCAATTCCATCGTGGCCAATGACAATTTTATGCAGAACTCCAAGTGATACAGCCGTCACAGAGAAGACATCAATCTGTAAACAACAAAAAGAAAGTGGGGAAAACCAATACAATCCAAATAGTGAACAGCAGTCCTTGGGATGATTGATTGGATGTAAAGCACACATTATTATTTGTTGTATAATGCATACTCATTGTGTAAATGTATTGTTAGAAATGGCTGCAATGTAAAATATGTATAAATTAGTTAACAAACTACCATCTCAAGGATTTTTAAACAGGATTTTTCATAATAGCTTTTTGCTACCGGTAGTTTAATTTTTTAGTATACCATGCCATTTTGTTCTTTCCAGGCAGGTATTTTTTCTCTCTGTTTATTACAAAGGAACAAGCACTTTTCCTACCAAACTATTCTATTGCTTCTTCCTTGCTACCTGCTTCATATCAAACTAGATGTTAAATGCTAAGTATTTGCCTTTAAACAAAGGAAGAAACATGATATTTACCACATTATAAAAAGATGTCGAGACTCTCGAAAAAGTACAGAGAAGAGCAACCAGGATGATTAGGGGACTGGAGACTAAAACATATGAAGAACGGTTACAGGAACTGGGCTTGGCTAGTCTAGTGAAGAGAACGACCAGGGGAAACATGATAGCAGCAGTATTTGAGGGGCTGCCACAGAGAGGAAGGGGTCAAGCTATTTTCTAAAGCACCTGTAGGCCAGACAAGGAATAATGGATGAAAACCGAACAAGGAGAGATTTAATCTGAAAATAAGGAGAAACTTTCTGACAGTGAGAACAATCAACCAACGGAACAGCTTGCCCTCGGAAGTTGTGGGAGCACCATCACTTGAGACTTTCAAGAAGAGATTGGACTGCCATTTGTCAGAAATGGATCTCCCGCTTGGGTGGAGGGTTGTACTAGATGACCTATAAGGTTCCTTCCAACTCTGATTATCTGTTATCTGTTATATTGTGGCATTGCTACTAGCAACAAAGATTAAACCAAGAACCTAGAGGAACTTACAGCCTCTTCTACTCAAATATTTAAATCTTTCAGTGGCTGGACTTAAGGAATAAGTTTTGCAAACTTTTTTAAAAAGTGAAATATTAAGCCTATCTAAGAACTCAGATTAAAAATGAAGACATGGCAATACTTTGTGATGATCCTTGTCATAAGGTACTTTGGCAGTTTCACAAAAAGCTTCTCAGCATGAAGGCTACGCAACCTGTTTGCCATAGTAACTGGAGACAAAAATTCCAACACACCTCAATCATAGGCCCTTTTTATTTAGTCACATACATATGCTCTTCTTTCAATAATAGCAACAACAACAACAACAACAACAACAACAATTGCTCAAGGCAGTTGACAGTAAGAATACCTACAATCAGTGGTGGGATTCAACCAGTGTTACTACCTGTTAGGTGACTAAGTTTTACGTGCACTTACATGCAAAGTGTGCACATGTGCCAGATGCGCGCTCTGCACGCATGTAAAAAAAACCTTTAGCTGTGCCGCCCAGACAGCTGAAAAGTGCTGTGCGCAGGTGTGCAGCATTTGGAAGGCCTCTTTTTTCCTGCTTTTTCAACCTCAGTTGTGCCGCGCAAAGCAGCTGAGGTTGAGAAAGCAGGAAATAAATGACAGGTAAGAGCCTTGGCAGGCGGGTGGGCCAAACCAGCAGCAAACACAGAACGGTTCGGTTTCTGCTGCTCTTCAAAGCTACCGGTTCTATAGAACTGGGCAGAACCGGTAGCATCCCACCCCTGCCTACAATATGAAATAACCAAACCATATCACATAATTAAAAAACATGAAATAAAATAAGAACAGATTTATTTTTTAACAAATGGCAGACAAGAAAAACATAATTAAATTTAGAACACAGCCCAACAGAAAGACATAAGTTATTTGTCAGGCCAAACACTGCTTAAATAAAAGATGAGCCTCCTTCAAGTGGGAGCTCCCAAACCTGGGTATCCTAAGAAGCCTCTTTCTAAAGTTTCTGATAAATAGAAATTGGTGGGACCTGTTTCTTTTCTGAAATCTGATATCAGATATCGCTGGAAGAAGAAACAGAAAGCACATTTTGTCCCTTCCTTTCTGACCTCCCTGCCCCACTTGAATTCAAGACACAAACTGACAGACACCACCTCCATCTCAAAATTTTATGAAAAAGCCTTGCTTCAATTTTCATCATTGGCATTCTTTCCATGCACAGAGTGCTCAGCTTGCTGACAGCATTTCCTCTAGCTAGCCAGTGTTTTGCCCTCTGCCCTCATTCTTACATCATTGTGTCTGTTTCCATAAGCAAGGAAAAAGGAGGGCAAAATGCAAACTGTTCTGGAAAGGAGAACAATCAAGCAACTTCTCTATGTAACAAAATCACAAATTCTCCTTGGGTTTTTTTTTTATATCTATGAATCTACATATCCTTATGCACAGATTAGAAGGATGGAGTCTGTATATGTACATACATGCTCCTACACAATTTAGAAAATCTGTCTTGAGTGTTGTGTTTGGTTTTACCCAACATATGCTTTTAAAGCTTTATAACTCTATAATTACCTGAATCTTAATTTTGTATATTTTTCTTTACCTGATCACATTGAAATGTGATTTTATTAGTGCTTGATTTTTGAAGTTTCCGTTTTCCAGAATCTCCTTGATTTCCAAAGATATTGATGTACACATTCGAATTAGTTTCGGCACCTGACTGTGTCCCGGTGTATACGTTGATCTCGTAGACTACCACTAAAATGAAGACAAAATGTATTGTCTGTGTGCATTTTTATGTTGTTCATTGCTCAGTAGTATTCATACTAACTTGAATATTATGACTAGAGAAACTCACTCAATATTGAATATATAATTGTTTTTAAAAGAATCCTGCCTAGTTCTAAAAATTGCCTATTAATTGGCAGCTTGCAATGCTAACTTCACAATAAAAAGCATCAGGTGATCAAGTGATTTGAGCAGGCAAAAACATGTATTTGTATCTCTTGAGTGGAAAAAAGGGAAAATCAACAGACTAAACTGAAACCTACTAATCACAAAACAAAAAAGTCAGTGAGGCAGAGAGAAAGACAAGCAGTAATAAATCGGCTGGAACTGCAATCACATTAGTGTCCATGGGTTTCATGTTGGGGACCCAGCATTTCACAAATGCTGCTGCTGCTTATGATGATTCAGAGTTAGTTCAGAAATATATGTGTATGTATGAGTGTGAATGGAAGCTTAAAATCACACATTGAGTAGGTTTTGGCAACTTTAACAAATATATTCTGTTGCTGTAAAGGAGTCATAATTCAGAGAGCTAGATATATAATTGTAACTCTTTTAAAACATCAAAATATATTTGTTAAAGTTCCCAAATACTACAACATCCTAATCAATGTATAATTTTAGAAGGAAGTAATTCTGAAAACAGTCAGCTATTAACCAGTAAAGTTTATTTCACTGAGGCCCAGCCCTAGGATGCAGACAATCATTTATAAGCTAATTTTTGGAAACATGCAAAATTTTAAATCTTTTACTGTCTGTTCTGTATGTGCTGACAGGATTCAGTAAACAACAGCTGTCAAGTGAAGTTGATAATAAAATACATGATTCATTAACAAACAAATACTGGGTAATAGACATTGCCTTTGAAAGGTTAGGCAAAAATGAGAAGAAAGAAAGCACTCTCTCTCTCTCTCTCCCAGGTTGATGAGCATATACATTTGGGAATGATTGTGAGAAAATTTTGATCACTGGGTTTATTTATCTGAAAATAAGTATAGTTTGAGTGTGGTGACAGGTTTATCCTGAGGTCAGCTTCTGATTATATTACATCGAGTATCCATTCAATATTAAGACTAAACGATGTCTGATTATATTGTGAATATAGGAAATGAATTCTTAACACAAAGACTAGGTATCTGGAGCTGAGATTTCTATAATGGAGATTCTGTGCTTGATCATTCTTTTTGATGCATTCTCCATTTCCCTCCTGAATAAGAAAAAATTAGATGCAAGTCCTAGGAAAGAGTTGTCCCAACATATTACTGCAGGCCCATTGTGAAATCTTCTGAGCATAGGAAACAGCATAAAATATGATAAATCTATTAAGATTATTCATGCATGAGCCCATATCAGTGGAAATATAGGACCATGTAAGTCCTTTCAACCTAAGCACATATTGGCAACATATCAACAAATTGATATAATCTATAGCCTGATCTGATACATAGATCTGAACTTTCTCCATTTCTGAAAACTTCAATAATGGAATAGCTAAGTTTTAACATGGCCATTCTTAAGCATATCACACTTTTATTGCATAACACATTTTAAAACAAGTGAAATAATGGTTTGTTCTGTTACTTCAAACCTGTGAAATTGCTAAACTGCAGCAGCAGAAATAACAAAAAATATGATTCTCACCAGGGAAGCAGACAACAGGGAACTAGTCCACTTCACAAAATATCAGTCAAATCATCAAAAGTCAGAATTTCAGGCCAAGATAAAAATTATCATCTTGGGTATTTAAAGGATAAAGAAAAATAAACAATCTCTCACGTACATATAGGCCTGCTTCTATCTGTAAAAACTGTAATTTCTTCACTCTGCATATATTTTATCATAGTTTGAAAAATTATGCTTTGTTGTTATTTTGTTTCCTGTAAAATATGCTTTGTGTTGTGCTCAGGGATAATTTAATATTAGATCCATAAATAATATTTTAGGTTTAGGCACTAGCTAGCAGTCAGAAAACATTCTTTAAATTTGGCAACATATAGATAGATTTAGTCATAGTTTCAACTGAGAAAATGTGAGAATCCTAGACCAGACCAAATCCAAAAATACTAGGGAATTTCTAGAAGCCTGGCACCCTGACAAATTAGCCATCAATAGACACATAGACATTAACAACATCTATAGACTATGCAAAAGAGATATTCAATCTGCCCAAAAGGGAACAAAAATACCCAAGCACTTCTCCACGAGCAATCAGCACCCAGATTTGCATAGATTGACTCCAAGGTTAACATCAGACCAACAATCAATCAATACCCTAATCAAGAAACTGCCAAAGAGCCAACAATGAACAGCCCAACCAAAGAATCTTTAAGTCCACCCACACCAACACCAACAGGGCAAGCCAACAGAATATAAACTGATAGCAAACCACACTTTTTACTAGCTCTTAGTTTGGGTAATGAAATGTCTGCAAGAAAACACGCAAGCTCAGAAAGCACCAAGGACCCTCATTTCAATCCTGAGCTACAAATATTCTCCTTTATTGGAAAGCATTATCTCCAATTAAGGCCACACAGAATTTTAAAAATAAAGGCTGTACTTGCATGACTCAAACCAGATGACTACTTTTCAGCCTAGTATATGAAACTCTGTGGTGGTTGTTTAACAATTCAGTATGCTTTGCATGCCATGAAAATTGGGATAACTGCATAAAATGTGGCTTCGTCTATTGCAGCTGTATCACACTGCAAACTTGAAGTGATTCTACTGCCTATCAAACCTTGTTTGCTTGTGTGCATGTGTGTGAGTGTGTACTTGTGTGTTTATATGATTTTTGATGTCTTTACTTATAAATTTGATTGATAAATAAATACCAATACGGCTTATAAAAATGAGATTTTCATATTGGATTAAAAGTAACAGAATAATTTTCATTATACATGCATGGAATGCAGTTTATATTTGATGTTTGACATGTAGAGGTCAAAGGCCAGGACACAAATTCTAAGGGTTTAACTAAATCATAAAGATTCTAAGAAAATGTTATTTATTTATTATTTATTCAGTTAGTTATATTTCCCTTTCTTAACTGCCCACCTTCCTCAGAGAAGAGCTCTGAGTACTGTACAATCTAATTAATATAACAATATATAAAAGTAACATTAAAAAATTAAAAGTAATTTAAGACAAAAAAATAAAAAAATAAAAAATAAAATATAACATTATAAAATTTCAAGAAGGTAAAAAAAAAAATCCAAGATGGGCATTTAGCAATAGTTAATACAGATGGGGGATGGGATTCTTATAGTGTCAGCCAATCCCACAGTTGCATGGTTCTATGTGCTCCTCATGCAAGGCTGCACAGCCAGGTTTTGATTCTCTTGAGGAAATCCAGAAGCGTGGAAGCAAGATGTTTCATAATGCAGGGGCAATGACAGAGAAGATTCCGTTTCTAGACTGCACCAGTTAAATTCCTTTGATTGACAGAGTCTGTATCAAACCTTTCCTGCCTGAATAAGTGAAACAAGCTGATGAAGCCTATTCCTTAGGTAACCTGGCCTTATACCATGAAGGGCTTTATAGGTGATCACCAACACCTTGAATTGGACCAGGAAGCAAATTGGCATCCAATGTAGTTCACTGAGCAAAGGTGTTATACTTGTTGCAGAATACTTTATGCCACCAGATTCGAAATTCTAGACCTAGAAAACCTACAACTACGCCGCCTTTGGTCCGATCTAAGTATAGTATATAAAATCATACATTGCAATGTCCTACCTGTCAATGAATACTTCAGCTTCAACCATACAATACAAGAGTACACAATAGATACAAACTCAGGGTTAACCGCACCAAACTTGATTGCAGGAAATACGACTTCAGCAACAGAGTGGTCAATGTCTGGAATACTCTACCTGACTCTGTGGTTTCTTCCCCAAACCCCAAAAACTTTAACCTTAGACTGTCTACTATTGACCTCACCCCTTTCCTAAGAGGTCTGTAGGGGGTGTGCATAAGCGCACCAATGTGCCTACCGTCCCTGTCCTATTGTTTCTTTTATTTTTCTTATATGTATCCATTTCATGTATTCATAACCATGTTTATCCTTATACCTATTATCTTGTAAGCAATTGACAAATCAAATAAATTTTAAAAATTAAATAAATTAAAAATTAAATATGTGCCCTTCTATGAGTACACATGAACACATTCTGCCCAGATGAAGCTTCCAGATACTTTTAAAGATAGCCCCATATAAAGCACATTGCAATAGTCCAATCAGGAGATGAACAGGGCATGAGTGATCAAATGGAAGACTTTGTTTTGCTGATGGGAACAACTTTATTATGTCAGAATGTCCTCCAATCTAGCTGATTATAGAATTGGCCACTGATCTCTGGGTCTCAGCTATCTTTCCCATGGCTTTCAATGTGCTAGTCATAAAATTCAAAATCATTTCCAAACTTTTATGTACCAGCAAGGGAAAACAAAGTACTATCATTTGTATAGCAATAAAGTCTGGTGATATGTAAGGTATTACAACCATCCTTCAGGGCCAGATTTTCTGCTTTTCTGCAGCAGTTTGAAGCCATTGAACCTTGAATTTGGTGGCATTACATTAGCATCAAACTGCAGCGTACAGGGAATTGTCATAGCTTCCATCAAATGAGAAACACTATAGGAAAATACAATTTACTAACTCAAACAAAAGTCTAAAGATATTTCTTTTAGCATGTAGAAATTGGGTCGAACAGCTACATTCATTCACCCTTTGGAAATAGCCAGGCTCAAGCTGATGTAATGGGATTTTTAAAAAAGAGCAAAAATTAAACAAGTTTAATTAATGCAATCAAGATTGTACTTCCTGAGGAGAAGGGGAAATGCTTTTTTAAAAAAATACATGAAATTTGAATATTTGTGATGCTAAGAGATGGGTTTTAATTAAGCTGTTATGTCACACAGGCACAGTACTGCTGTATTCCTGAGCCAAACAGTCAATGAAGAACAGATAG